AGGACAAAACAGCAAGTACTGTGCCAGCATTAGTTCACAATGCCAAAGCCAGCTAGAAAGCATCATCCTAAGAAATTCTAGTAATTTTCAAGCAGCCTGAGAAAAACAATCTCATTCATAGGGGGAGGAAAACTTTCAGGAACAGTATTAGTTTCATAATTGGAGAAAACCTTGATCATCATTTGTGGTTGATGGCCTCTCTCTGCCATGCTTTTATGGAATCCTAACAGCAAGTTGTTTTTGAAGGTTACCAGGATATTAGTCACAAAAACAGGCATGTATTAGTAAGCCTCATTTCCAGAGAGTTTGGAACCACGTTCCAATTTATTGTGATTAAAACAACATCGGATAGTTTTAATTGCTTATGTTTTTGATTAGGCTGTTCATCATTTGTAGATTTCTCATTTCTCTATATTAAAACAAAGGAGAAATAGTTTAGAGTCTACCAAGATACTTCCATTGTTGTTTTTAATTCCTGTTTTCTGTTGTTTTTCCCAAATAGCCTGTGGAATATTTTTCTTGGAGTAGAATCTCTTTTTTTGGGGGGTGGGATGTTTGTTGTTATTATCTTATCCAAGTCAAACTGAATTTCTCTTGTATAAGGCAACAGCAGGGAGCATAAGAATGAGTGCACAGGGGCATTTAAGGATATTAAGATTTACCTCTGTCTTTGTGAGACTATGGCTTGGTTTGTGCAAGTTTTCTGTAGCTGCTCAGCTTGGGGGTATTGTTTCCCTGAACTGAAAAAAGATGCAGCAAAAACATGGATGCATGGACCTTAGTTTGAGAGGTAGACTTGCACTGAACTGCATTCACACATTGCTGTAATGTAGGATGCTTTTGCTATAGTTTGTTGAACACGTCGCATAAGAGCCTGGACGGCAGAGAATGTGAAGTCAGGTTGGATGGCCGATGCATCATTTGAAACAAAATGCACGGGTTTGTGTGAACCAGGGCAGAGGATTTGTTGCAAAATTTGGAAAAATCTAGGTAAAAGTGTTCCTTTTTTTTTCTTCTAAAGGGAGATATTTGTGCAACCTAATTCCAGAGTACTTCATCCATTTGTCCCTGCCAGATCTGTGCATTTGCTTCCTACCAAGCTATTGTCCTGCTGGTTATTAGTTCTTCTAATTTAATTCGGACAACATGGGCAGTTGCTTTCTAGCCTTTGACACATTTTCAGTCCAACATTGCTAGAAAATGCTCGGGGAGTAGTGCGGTGGCCTAGAGGTGGAGTTCTTGCCTCACAATCAGGAGGCTGTGAGTTCGATCCTAGGTAGAGGCAGTTCTCTCTCTGGGCACAATGAGAATATATCTGCTGAATGAAACTCCACATTGGTGACAGAAAAGGCATCCGGCCAGTAAACACTCTGCTAGCTCCATTCAGTTGCCCAGACTCCATCCCGCAAGGGATTATGGGGTCATGAAAAGAAGATGATGATTACCAGAAAATGCTTGGGATTTTATTTATTTATTTATTTTATTTATTTGATTTGTCAATTGCTTACAAGATAATAGGTATAAGTATATACATAGTTATGAATACATGAAATGGGTACATATAAGAAAAACAAAAGAAACAGTAGGACAGGGACGGTAGGCACTGCAAGCCCCCTACAGACCTCTTAGGAAAGGTGTGAGGTCAATAGTAGACAGTTTAAGGTTAAAGTTTTTGGGGTTTGGGGAAGAAACTACAGAGTCAAGTAGAATATTCCAGACATTGACCACTCTGTTGCTGAAGTCATATTTCCTGCAATCCAGTTTGGTGCGGTTAACCTTGAGTTTGTATCTATTGTGTGCTCTTGTATTGTTATGGTTGAAGCTGAAGTATTCATTGACAGGTAGGACATTGCAATGTATGATTTTATATACCATACTTAGATCAGACCGAAGATGGCATAATTCAAGGTTTTCTAGGTCTAGAATTTCAAGTCTGGTGGCATAAGGTATTCTACAATGAGTAGAGGAGTGGAGAACTCTTCTTGTGAAATATTTCTGGACTTTCTCAACTGTGCTAATATCAGATACGTAATGTGGGTTCCAGACTGATGAGCTGTATTCGAGTATTGGTCTAGCAAATGTTTTGTATGCTCTAGTTAGTAGTGTGATATTACCAGAGAAAAAGCTACGTAGGATTAGGTTAACAACTCTTAATGCCTTTTTGGCTAGTTACAGTGGGCTCTAGCACTTAGATCATTGGAGATGAGTATTCCAAGGTCCTTTACAGAGCTTGGATCATCAACAAGATCTTGACTATTCAGCTTGTATTTTATTTTCTGATTATTTTTGCCAATATGTAAGACAGAGCATTTATTTGTTGAGATTTGAAGTTGCCATTTGTTTGACCATTCTGATACATAGTCAAGATCTTTTTGAGGGGTAGCAGTATTGTCTGTGGTATTGAACAGCTTTACATCATCAGCGAAGAGAACGCAGTTGCTCTTAATATGATCACAGAGGTCGTTTATGTAGAGTATGAAGAGAGTTGGTCCTAGAACACTGCCTTGGGGGACACCACTATTGACAGGTACAGAATTTAATAGGACACTCCCAATTTTGACCATTTGTTGTCTGTTTGACAGGAATGCTTCTATCCAATTATGCAGTTGTCCAGAGATACCATAAGATTTTAGTTTTAGGAGTAGTTTGTTATGTACCATTGAATCAAAGGCTTTACAGAAGTCTATGTAGATTGCGTCTATTGCTTTGCCCTGATTGAGTTGTGTAGTCCATATGTTTTTGCAGTATAAGAGTTGCAGATTACAGGATAGTTTTTTCCTGAAACCAAATTGTTTATTGGAGAGTAGGTTGTTTGTCTCTAAGTGAAGGATAATGGATTGGTTAATAATTGATTCAGGTGACGCAGCATAAGGAGATTGGTCTGTAATTTTCAACTAGGCTGGGGTCTCCCTTTTTGAAGATGGGGATGACCGTGGCTTGTGACCATAGGTTAGGCAAGGAGCTGGTCCTGAAAGATTTTTCAAAGATTATGCTTAGAGGTTCGGCTATGGCAGTGGATAACTTTTTTAAGAATCAGGCACATATTCCATCCGGTCCAATAGATAGGGATGGTTTTAGATTACATAGTGCTTTTTCAACATGATGATTTTCTGAAGGTGAAGTACGTGTTGTTGTACGGGATTTTGGTTCAATGTGGTAGGAAAAGTTGCAAAATGGGGCAAAGCTCATTTAACAAATTTCACACTTAGCAGCATAAATTTTGAGCTCAATTGTGGTTGTAAGTCTTGGAATAGCTGTAGTATAAGAATCTGAGGATCTGCGAAAGAAAGAAAAGGGCAGTTTTGAATTGAGGCAGAACCAACTGCTTTAGTGGGAATTGCAAAAGAGAGGGAGAGAAAATGAAAAAATGGGCAGTGAATTTTGGTCCTGGTTTTGTCATTTTGTGGGGAAAGTTATGGGGCAATGATGAATAAAGAAGCCTTTATTTTTGTTACAGGAAGCAATAAGCTGTGTGGAGGTGACAAAGTTCAAATTATGGCCTTGTTTTCTTAATTTATTTATTTTTTTTTTTTGAATAAGCCAGATTGTGGTAGGGTGAAAACTTGGGGAAAATGAACAATTACTGGAAAAAATATGGGGAAAGACATACTTTCCTTTACACTTTTGTATGCATTACTTAATCTTGAGAATTTAGGGATTTCCAGTAGTCTGTTGGTTTGAGTGATTATCAGTTTGATTTGCTATGCCATAAAAATCTGCATCTTGCACATAACAAACACCGCAATGGGTACCCCCATATGATTGGAGGTTAGGTCATACTTCTTTTGTCCCACTTTCTCAGTCATCTCTGAAAAGAAGGTCATTGGGATTGTAGGAGAACTGGGAGGAGAACTGGCGTCTGCTGGTCAACTTTCAAACATCTTCGACTGCATTCCTAAGTGAAGATGTAAGGAGTCAAAAATACGAGTGTGGGCAGATTTCTTCATTAAGGTGTCCCAGACCAGAAAAAGCATCACATGGAACAAATTATGATTTTTATAACTGTCTCAGCACTGGGAGTGAAGGAAGGAAGAACTCCATAAGTTTTCCAGTGTGTGACTTAATTGTGAGCATCAAGCATGGAGATTTTTCCTTCTTTACTAGATGATTTATGACCGAGGTTTGTAATTCATTGTCTTGTTGCAGCAGGGTTCAAATTCTCAGAATGTATTCTTGCTTTCATTGGATGCTTTGTTTCTCCTATACACGGTATATTTTATGGCTGTGATAGATTGTAAATCCTTCCATTCCAATCAATCTTCTCAGCTTCTATTAGTTTAAATGTGGTTTTACTTGCCGCAGTACAATTATTTGAGCCTCTTGGGCTGATATATTGGCTTAAATCAACGGTTGGCAAAGTACGGCTTTCTAATTCTGCAAACTTAATCCTCTCTTTTCATTGTGGCTGATAGGAATTAGAATTTGACAAGATCCAGTTGGACCCTGCTTTCAAAGAGGTTTGAAAAATGGGATATATTATTTTTTCTAATAAATAAACCAAAACATCATTATGATTGCATAGAAATTGACCGAGTTTAATCTATGGCCGCTACAAAAATTGGTATCATTGTCCTAAGAATCTCAGTGGCAGAAACTCTGACTTCTGCTTAGAATTTGTGTAACACACTCACACATTTTTATGCCTGATTCAACTGCTGAGCTTCTAATGGGTGTGGAGCTATAGCCAGGCCACTGTAGAACAAGAGGCTGTTAGTACATTTCAGTGTGAGTTCAGATGTGCAGCAAACAAGCTAATGTGAAAGGTGTGAATCACAGGCTTGGTGAAGATACTGTAATTGCTTGATTGGTCCATTCTGCTTTTTCTTTCATCTTTTCTGCCAGCGTAGTATGGAACTATAACATGCTTATGAGATATTGTTCTGCTAACACTGTAAAATTATTTCAATTTAGACTGTGCTGTCGGAGTCAGATCGCCTTCTTGGTGACCCGTCTTTTTCTCCTTTTTGTTCTTGTTTGCGCTTCCCCTTCCCGCTGCGTAGGGAGGATTTTGGATTTGAAAACTGGCACAGTAAAGAAGGAAGGTCAACAGTCTTCAATGAGAATGTGCATGGGATCCAGGCGTTCCTTCATATGCAGAATGAGGTATGCTATTTCTGCTTTCATCATTAAGGGAAGCCTAGAACTTTCCTCCTAGCTCAGTACCTTAACCACTGCAGCACACTGATATTCATTCACTCATCCAGAATAGAGAAGAGAACGGAACAGAATTCTTTATTGGCCAAGTGTGATTGGACACACAAGGAATTTGTCTTGGTGCAAATGCTCTCAGTGTCCATAAAAGAAAAGATACACTTGTCAAGAGTCAAGAATCATAAGGCACAACACTTAATCATAGCCATAGGGTACAATAAGCAATCAAATCATACTAGGAAACAGTCAATATAAATCGTTAGGATACAAGCAACAAGGTTACAGTCATACAGTAACAAGTGGGAAGAGATGGATGATAAGGAGTGATGAGAAGATTAATAATAATAGTAATGCAGACTTAGTAAATAGTTGGACAGTGTTGAGGGAATTATTTGTTTAGCAGAGTGATGGCGTTTGGGAAAAAACTGTCCTTGTGTCTCGTTGTTCTGGTGTGCAGTACTCTATAGCGTCGTTTTGAGAGAAGGAGTTGAAACAGTTTATGTTCGAGATGTGAGGGGGCTGTAGAGCTGGAAGGGACCTTGGAGGTCTTCTAGTCCAACCCCCTATTCAAGCAGGAGATCCTATACCATTTCAGACAAGCAACTGTTTAGTCTCCTCTTAAAAACCACGAGTGATGAAGCACCCACAACTTCTGATGGCAAGCTGTTTTACTGCTTAGTTGTCCTCACTGTGAAGAAGTTTGTTCATTCATTCATTCATTCATTCATTCATTCATTCGAAGCATTGACAGCATTGTTTCAGAATATTTCCTTCAGTGGTGGTATTCGACTGGTTCTGCCCGGTTCTGGACAGGCGTTAGCGGCGATGAGCAGTGGAGACCGAACCGGTTCTCTTCGCTGCTCTGTGGTTGGCCCCCCCGCCTGTCCGGGCTCCCATATTCACTTTTATGGCCAGAATTCAAAGCGCAGCTGCTTTGCGCGGTGCAGAATAGCGCTGCGTGGCAGCTGCTGCAGCGACCACCATCATGCAGGCTTGCAGGAGGCAAGTTAGAATGCCTCTGTGCCTGCGCAAAGTGTGTGTTTGGTGCACGCATGCACGCAAAGTGTGTGCATGCACGCAAAGCTCAGTCACCAAGCCATGCCCACCGAACCGGTGGCAGCTTTATTTGAATACCACCACTGATTTCCTTTCCAAGTTATTCTAGGGAGCCCCATGGGTTTCACCTTCCACCTTCATCCAATTTTTAGCCTGGACCTCACTCTTTCTTCACATCTACTGTATCGGGTCTCATGTTCAGTTTTTACTGAATCACTGAATAACAGAATTGGAAGGGACCTTGGAGGTCTTCAATCCCCTGCTTGAGCAGGAAACATACCATTTAAGACAAATGGTGACCTAATCTGTTCTTTAAAACCTCCAGTAATGGAGCACCAACAACTTCTGAAGGCAAGTGATTAATTGTTCTCACTGTTAGGAAATTTCTCCTTAGCTCTATGTCGTTTCTCTTCTTGATAGGTTATCCATTGCTTCTTGTCCTGCCTTCAGGTGCTTTGGAGAATAGTTGCTATTTAAATTCACTGTCAGAAAAGAATGATCCCAATTGCAAACTAGCCATTTTCAGAAAGTGGTGCTTGTTTTCATTAATAATATCCATAAATCTGTATCTTGTTTTGTTTTTTTTAAAACTTATGAGTCAGTAGCTCACATCCTTTCCTTGGTTGTGTTTACCAGAACACAATCATCAGACTGACCATGAAATGTGATCCATTGTGTCATCTTACTATATTATTATTCAAATTATTATTTCTGAGACCTAAGATTGGAATGGAAATGTGGCCTTATTTTTGTTTCATAACACACCACATTTTTATTTATAAGGGGAAAGAAAACAATAAGTAATCACCCAGCTAATTTTAGGCACATGAGAAATTCTTGAGACGATCTTCATTTTTCCAATTTTGAAATACTTTAGGTGTCTTTAAATACTTTATTTTTAAAAATCCCATCATATGGCAATAATTAAGCTTGTCTCAGGCCTGTGGCTTATGGTTTAACCATTTTTTGGTCTAAAATAAATATCTGGGATTCTTCTAACCACCTTAAAGCTGTCACAAAACGTGGAACACATGGTTTCAGTATCAGCCATCTTCAACTCTCCTTAGTTTGCTTTGTTTACCATTTTGTCCAAAGAAGAGCTTATGTAATTGAAATTTCATTTTATTTTATGATTATGAATTAGCCTAATATGTTTGTGGTGCTACTATAGATTGGGACCTCCGTGATCAGAACAGCTGCCTTTTTAATTTTTGTTCTTAGGTATGTTCTTCTTCTTTTGGTTTGGTATGTACATGGATTTATCCATATAACCATGGTATCCTACATCAAATGGAGAAAAAATTATCTACCTGAGGATTAATAATCAGTGGAACAACTTGTCTCCAGAAGTTGTGGATGCCCCAACACCAGAGGTTTTTAAGAAGAGATTGGAAAACCGTTTGTCTGAAATGGTATAGAGTTTCCTGCCTGAGCAGTAGATTGGACTAGATGTTCCAACAAAGATGATTGGGGGACTGGAGGCTAAAACATATAAAGAACAGTTGCTGGAGTTGGGTATCTCTAGTTTAATGAAAAGAAGGACTTGGGGTGGCATGATAGCTGTGTTCCAATATCTCAGGGGTTAAGGTTTCCTGCCTAAGCAGGGGTTGGATTTTAAGATCTCCAAGGTCTCTTCCAACTCTGTTATTTCAACGTCTAACTTCCCTTCCAATTCTGTTATTCTGTATTCTGTAAGGTTGGGGTTTTTATCTTTCGCTAGTATTACCCCTCTAGTGATTACCTAAAGCTACATCAAAATGACTTCTGGATCAGCCTACAAAGAGCAGCAAAAAGACTTAAACTTCCTTTAAGATGGGGGAACTGGAGACTAAGGCATATGAAGAACGGTTACAGGAACTGGGCTTGGCTAATCTTGTGAAGAGAAGGACCAGGGGAGACATGGTAGCAGTCTTCCAATATTTGAGGGGCTGCCCCAGAGAGGAAGGGGTCAAGCTATTTTCTAAAGCACCTGTAGGCCAGACAAGGAATAATGGATGGAAACTGAACAAGGAGAGATTTAACCTGGAAATAAGGAGAAACTTTCTGACAGTGAGAACAATCAACCCATGGAACAGAAGTTGCTCTTGGAAGTTGTGGGAGCGTCATCACTTAAGAGCTTCAAGAGGAGATTGGACTGCCATTTGTCAGAAATGGTGTAGGGTCTCCTGCTTGGGTGGGGGGTTGGACTAGATGACCTACAAGGTCCCTTCCAACTCTGATTATCTGTTAGATCTGTGAGATGACACTATTAATTGGATTATTTCTTCTTAGTTCTAGGTTGGCTCTCCCTTTGATAAGTTTCCATCCATTATTTCTTACCTTGCCTTCAGTTGTTTTGCAGAATAGGTTGTTCTTTGTGACTTCGAGGCAAACACAAAGCAAAGCAAACACCAACCCATGATCTTTAAAAGCCTTCTGCTACAAAGGTTTCTGGCTGCAGTTGTGTAACTTCATTGTTGTAGCTTGTTCCCTGCAATCAAGTAGGGTTGCTAACTGTCTTACGCTGTTTCATTTCTAGATGTGGAAATGCTCCATTGGATCATTTACCTCTGAACAGGATAACAACCATGAGGAAAAGATACAGGTTGGTGTTTTCTGTTCCTTCTTTGGCATAACCCTTAGTTATCCTCATCATCCAAGACCTTAGAAAAATGTTGACCTATTATAATAGGCAACGCTTGGGTTGACAAGGTAAGTCTCAGAAGCATCAGTTCACATTCTTGTGGGCCTTGAGATCAGCATTCACAGATATGATGGAGGCATTCATTTTTGACACTTGGACTCTAAGGAATTCCGCAAATGTGCCAGTGGGCTAGTTGAATTTGAACAGACCCATCAAATTAAAACATTGGCAAAAGGGTTTGGGTGAGCATAGAACGATCCATACTATGCTCACTCAAAGCCTTTTGCCAATGTTGCCAAATGTGCTTTTACCAAAGCTTAGGACTAAACCACAGTTGTTCTTAGTGTTGAAGACGAGCATCTGTTTTCTTAAATTGCAGGGTTTAAAATGTGCTCAAAACAAGATTTGTTATTTGTCATTGTTCATGTTAATGATATTTCATGGGAAATTTAATTTCACGAAATTCATGTGGTTTGTGCACATTTCTGCTTAGTGACTGCCTGCATGAATTTGTATGAGTGTATGTGAATATGTGTGTATATGAGTTTTAAGTATGTGTGTTTTTTTAAGCGACAGTTAAATATATATTTGTGTATATTTAGCTATATCCCAAATAGAGAAGACCAAGAAGTTTGTGTTAGAGAGAGGGGAATATAAACACTGCAACAAATTTGGTGATTGTTCCTTTCAATTGCTTCTTTCCATATATATTCATTTGCAGATTTCATATCCCAAATGTTTTGTTCTGCTCCAAGATTTGAGAAACGACATCCATTTATTGGCATTTTTTTAAAAGTAACACTGACTTCCAAATTATCTTACACAAGAAATAAACTAAATAAATTGTGCCATTACACTGTATGTGACTCACCCAGTTTCTTCTATAGTCTCTTTCCGTGGCTTCTAATTGACGTAAGGGAGCGCCTGAGTTTGGACCTTGGGCCAAACAGGAAACATGTCTGTTTCAAAGGGAGTCATTTTGATTGAACTATGAAAAGAGGATTCAGAGAGTAGTGGTAATGAATTTGAAGGATTGTCTTGGTTGAAAAACAAACATGGTTATTTATTTATTTTTCTCTGCTTTCTATTTAGAAATGGCCTGGGCCCAGTGAAGGAAGGAGAGGCACAATATGCTGTGGTTCACTGTACTGGGTACATCAAGGCATGGCCCCCAGCAGGTAAAATCGATAAAGCAGAATATAAAACCTTCCATATGGATATCTTTGCTTTCTTGGGTTCTTTCCAGAAGTGAACAAGAGAGGCATGGAAGCTCATTCATAACAAGAGATTCTTGGCCAATGTTCCTACCTACCTACCTACCTTTTCTCCCTCTCTCCTTCTTCCTTTCTCATCTTCTTTCTTTCTTTCTTTCTTTCTTTCTTTCTTTCTTTCTTTCTTTCTTTCTTTCTTTCTTTCTTTCT